ATTGGTCCGGACTGTTAACGGGTTATCGGATCCAAAACCGGACCCGGTAGCTTAACGGCGCTCCGTTACAGTGGATGCCACGTGTTGGTCACCCTTGACGAAAGCACTTCTATGACGCGCGATTTTTTGTCATGGAAGTGGACAACACAGGTATGACTATCTTGACTCTGTCATAAAATCGTCATGGATGTACATCCATGACAGAAAACGTGACCTACTATGACAAACACGTATCATCATGGAAGTGTATCTTTTTGTAGTGTAGCAAGCTCTAAGGATTTTTCCACCTGGTGTGGAATGGCATCTGAGATCCGATCCCTTTAAATAGACGCCTTTTTATGGCCAGGGTGTTATGTGCAAAAAATACTCTAACCTTTTGTATTCGTTTGACACGTGGAAGCAGAAGAGATGGAGGCGGGGGAGCCAAAGGGTATGACATTAAATGAAAAGTCGAATATAACTCTTCGGGTCAGATGCTTTGAAGTATTCGGAGGAGGAACCTGCCTTGCAATGCCGAAGACAACCTGCGCGCTGGACACATCGTCATTGAAGCCTGATTCGGGGGCTACCGAGGGAGTCCTGGATTAAGGGGTCCTCGGGCGTCCGAGCTATGTGACGTGGACCAGACTAATGGGTCATGAAGATACAAGACAGAAGACTTCCTCCCGTGTCCGGATGGGACTCTCCTTGGCGTGGAAGGCAAGCTTAGCGTGCGGACATGAATATTCCTTTCTCTATAAACCGACTCTGTACAACCCTAGCCCCCTCCGGTGTCTATATAAACGGGAGGGTTTAGTCCGTAGAGGCAATCATAATCATACAAGCTAGACAATTAGGGTTTAGCCATTATGATCTCGTGGTAGATCAACTCTTGTAACCCCTATACTCATCAAAGTCAATCAAGCAGGATGGAGGGTATTACCTCCATCAAGAGGCCTGAACCTGGTTAAAACATCGTGTCCCTTGTCTCATGTTACTATCAATCGTTAGATGCACAATTCGGGACCCCCTACCCGAGATCTGCCGGTTTTGACACCGATAACCATATCACATCACAACATGCCCTGCAAAAACATGTTAGACGTCCTCTACTTTGTTGTTTCAAGTTTTACGTGGCTGGTACGAGCTTCAAGCAAAAAACCGTTCTTACCTACGCATCAAAACCACAATGATTTTTCGTCAAGAGTGTTGTTTTAACCTTCAACAAGGACCGGTCGTAGTCAAACTCGATTCAACTAAAGTTGCAGAAACAGACACCCGCTAGCCACCTGTGTGCGAAGCACGTTGGTAGAACCAGTCTCATGAACGCGGTCATGTAATGTCGGTCCGGGGCGCTTCATCCAACAATACGCCGAATCAAAGTAAGACGCTAGTGGTAAGCAGTATGACTATTATCGGCCACAACTCTTTGTGTTCTACTCGTGCATACCATCTACGCATAGACCTGGCTCGGATGCCACTGTTGGGGAACGTAGCATGCGATTTCAAAAAAATCCTATGATCACGCAAGATCTATCTAGGAGATGCATAGCAATGAGAGGGGAGAGTGTGTCCACGTACCCTCATAGACCGAAAGCAGAAGCGTTAGATTAACACGGTTGATGTAGTCGAACGTCTTCACGATCCAACCGATCCAAGTACCAAACGTATGGCACCTTCGTGTTCGGCACACGTTCAGCTCGATGACGTCCCTCGAGCTCTTGATCCAGTAGAGGATCGAGGGAGAGTTCCGTCAGCACGATGCCGTGACGGTGGTGATGGTGATGTGATCCGCGCAGGGCTTCGCCTAAGCACTATGACGCTATGACCGGAGGAGTAAACTGTGGAAGGGGGCACCGCACACGGCTAAGAAACAACTGTTGTGTCTTTGGGGTGCCCCCAGCTCATGTATATAAAGGAGGGGGTAGGAGGAGGCCGGCCCAAGGGGGGCACGCCAAGAGGGGGGAGTCCTACTAGGACTCCATTCCTAGTAGGATTCACCCCCCTTTCCTTCCAACGGAGAGGGGGAAAGGGGAAAGGAGGGAGAAGGAGAAGGAAAGAGGGGGGTCGCGTCCCCTCCCCTTGTCCAATTCGGATTGGGCAAGGGGGTGTGCGCCACCTCCCGTGGCCTGCCTCCTCTCCTCCACTATGGCCCATTAGGCCCATTAACTTTCCCGGGGGGTCCGGTAGCCTCCCGGTACTCCGATAAATCCCCTAACCTTATCAAAACCATTCCGGTGTCCGTATATAACCTTCCAATATATCAATCTTTACCTCTCGACCATTTCGAGACTCGTCGTCATGTCCGTGATCTCATCCGAGACTCTGAACAAACTTCGGTCACCAAAACACATAACTCATAATACAAATCGTCATCGAACGTTAAGCGTGCGGACCCTACGGGTTCGAGAACTATGTAGACATGACCGAGACACATCTCCGGTCAATAACCAATAGCGGAACCTGGATGCTCATATTGGCTCGTACATATTTTACGAAGATCTTTATCGGTCCAACCGCATAACAACATACGTCATTTCCTTTGTCATCGGTATGTTACTTGCCTGAGATTCGATCGTCGGTATCATCATACCTAGTTCAATCTCATTACCGGCAAGTCTCTTTACTCGTTCTGTAATGCATCATCCCGCAACTAACTCATTAGTCACATTGCTTGCAAGGCTTATATTGATGTGCATTACCGAGAGGGCCCAGAGATACCTCTCCGATACACGGAGTGACAAAATCCTAATCTTGATCTATGCCAACTCAACAAACACCTTCGGAGACACCTGTAGAGCATCTTTATAATCACCCAGTTACATTGTGAAGTTTGATAGCACACAAAGTGTTCCTCCGGTATTTGGGAGTTGCATAATCTCATAGTCAGAGGAATATGTATAACTCATGAAGAAAACAATAGCAATAAAACTAAATGATCATAATGCTAAGCTAATGGATGGGTCTTGTCCATCACATCATTCTCTAATGATGTGATCCCGTTCATCAAATGACAACACATGTCTATGGTCAGGAAACTTAACCATCTTTGATTAACGAGCTAGTCAAGTAGAGGCATACTATGGACACTCTATTTTGTCTATGTATTCACACATGTACTAAGTTTCCGGTTAATACAATTTTAGCATGAATAATAAACATTTATCATGATATAAGGAAATATAAATAATAACTTTATTATTGCCTCTAGGGCATATTTCCTTCAACTAGTAGTGTTGATTACATCTTGTAGTTGATTACTATATGGTTTACTTGGTGGAAGATTATATGTTCAGATCCATTAAGCTATTTAATACCCCTCTGATCTTGAGCATGATTATCATTTGTGAGTAGTTACTTTTGTTTTTGAGGTCACGGGAAAAATCTTGTTGCAAGTAATCATGTGAACTTGATATGTGTTCAATATTTTGATAGTATATATGTTGTGATTCCCTTAGTGATGTCATGTGAACGTTGACTACATGTCACTTCATCATATTTGGACCTGAGGGAATGCATTGTGGAGTAGTTATTAGATGATGGGTTGCGAGAGTGACAGAAACATAAACCCTAGTTTATGCGCTATTCCTTAAGGGACCGATTGGATCCAAAAGTTCAATGCTATGGTTAGAATTTATTCTTAATATTTTTCTCGTAGTTGCGGATGCTTGCGAGGGGGTTAATCATAAGTAGGAGGTTTGTTCAAGTAAGAACATCACCTAAGCACCGATCCACCCACATATTAAATTATCAAAGTAGCGAACACAAATCAAACCAACATGATGAAAGTGACTAGATGAAATTCCCGTGTACCCTCAAGAACGCTTTGCCTATCATAAGAGACCGTTTTGGCCCATCCTTTGCCTCAAAAGGATTGGGCTAGCTTGCTGCACTTTTGTTACTATTACCGTTAGTTTCTCGTTACAAATTGTCTTGCTATCAAACTACTCTGTTACTTACAATTTCAGCGCTTGCAGACATTACCTTACTAAAAACCACTTGTCATTTCCTTCTGCTCCTCATTGGGTTCGACACTCTTATTGAAAGGACTACGATTGATCCCATATACTTGTGGGTCATCATATCTTCACAGTTCTTGCTTTCTTTAAGCACGAGGTCTTACTTGTTCTCGGTTGCACACATGGACTAGGTCTTCATGGTTAGGTGGTGTGCATCCAATATTGTCGGTAACCTTTAAGTGAAATGGTCTGGTGACTGTTAATGCGTGTTGTCCCATGTCTGACGTACGATGTAGTCGGGTCGTCAAAGTTGATCTCCATCCAATGCAAAGGAGTGTTTCCTTTAAATGACTAGGACACTCAAGGTGCGTATCACCAAATTAAAATCCTATATGTTTTTTTATTGAGGGATTGATATACAGGAAAAAAAGATTTCATACATGGGAAAGAAACCAAAATTCTTGTAGCTTCCACTTCTTTCCCTTTCTCATGCATACTCTCATGTCCCTTACAATAAACCATTTCTTGAAACCCCATCTTCTACCAATGTTTCATCTTTATTTGTACATCTTACCTTACTATTTTTTATAGTTCGTTGTCCTCGATTGCATGCATGAATTAGACCTTCGTGATTAAATTGACCATGCCGTAAACTTCAAGATATTGAGTTAGTGACTGATTATCACTCGTGTCGTCTAGTATCCAATGTAAGATGTAGTTGGATCGTCAAAGTCGATATCCATCCAACTTAAAGGAGTGCTTCTTGTTGAAAGGTCAGAACCTCCAAGGTTTATATCATCAAGCCATATTAAAACTGTGACAAGTAATATGGATTAGAGGAAGTAGGAGTATATGATTTATCATTTTTTTTGCCGAGGGGTTGAAATAAGAAAAATAAAACTCCACATCCCGAAGGAAATGAATATTCTTTGGTCTGTCCTCTTCTTTCCCTTTCTCCCACTGTCCTTCCAAACAAAAAGCTAGACGACTATTCCGAATTTCCCCAGCATTCCATTTCCTCCCCATCTCCACCGCCACCACCTCCTCCTCCCGCTCCTCTCCATGGCCGACTACCACCGCCCCTACCAGCGCGGCCTCCGTCCCCCGCCGTCCTCGGCCCCGGACCCCACCATCTTCCACGGCAATGGTTACTTCTCCTCTGTCGCCCCCCAAGCCAACGCATACTTCTCCTCCGCGCCGAAAGACGGCGCTTTCCCCGGCGCAGGCGACCGGCGGATCGAGATCTACACGAAGGCGCCTCCGCCTCTCCCCCCGCCTCCGCGCCTCGCACTGCCCCCGCCCCCGGGGAGGAGGGAAGGTGGCGTGGGGAGCGGCGGCAGCGGAGGGGGAGGTGGGGGTGGTGGAAGCGCCAACATATGGTGCTTCAGCGACCCGGAGATGAAGCGGCGGCGGCGGGTGGCGAGCTACAAGGCCTACTCAGTGGAAGGGAAAGTGAAGTCCTCGCTGCGGAGGGGCCTCCGCTGGTTCAAAGGCAAGTGCTCCGATATCTTCCACAGCTGGTAACCTCTTCTGCTCGGACGGTGACAGGGTCCCAAGAAACGCAAGCTCCTGAAAAATGTCTGCATTTTGGAATCTTTTGTTTGAAGGTAATGTTCAGAATAATTCCTCTACCACTAATTGAATGCATTTGAGGTTGTGATTGTATATTTGGTGAGCTAATGGAGGCTTAGAGGAACTTGCGACGGGCGTGAATTCATGAAATGTTTGTGATGTGTCGTATTCGCGCCTCTGTATATTTATCTGCAAGCGGTGGTGGTGATTAGTCATGTTACCCATATCTGTTACTAATAAAACACAAGGGCTGTGTGGGCAAATGTATCTTTTTAGTGGTTATGATTATTTGTTGGGAGATTGGTTTTCAATCAGATTCAGGAATCATGGAAATACCTACGTTTTTTTTTGTACTCTTTCACTATGAATGCTGAATTGTCAGTGGTACCATTTTATCTTGTGGTTTGAATGGCTGGTGAAGTGTGTGGTACTACTATCCATTGGAGTGGGTGTTCTGGTAGGAGGGATTGAAGTGCAATAAATTCTTTGAGACGAGTACGGATTGGGTACATTGATGAACTTCCATCTGAAATTAATAAACAGAAGGACATATGAGACTGAACACCCCCACTGATTGGCTCAAAATTGTTGCAAATAGTTGCTAATTACCTAATCACATATTCACTGGTAGTCTGATAACTAACGCCACCTATTTGAACATAGTTTGGTCCAGTATTTTTGAGAAAATATGAAGTTATCCTGTGGTTGGTGTGACATGTTGACAACCAAACCATGCCACATTATTATTGGCTTGATTATGTTGTTTGACAACCCTTTGTTTGTTTCAACTCTACGTTCCGTGTGGCATGGTTTGGTTCACCAAACTTCCTTATGTTTGTCAACATAATGAAGCCAATATTTGTTCATATAGATGTGTTGATGACCTACCTTTGGTCTTTATGATACAAATTATCATATCAGCCCCTTTGGTCCTTATGATAGTAACATAATTGCCCCTTTGCTTGATAGAATTGCTAGACATCAGTGCCGTCAGCAAGGCCACATCAGCCTTGCATGATGTTCTTTTTTAAAATGTTCTAGCAAATGTGCTTTTGGTTGATGTTACACTGACTATTTGCCGCGTAGCATGTTAAAGAAAACATGGCAGACGGTAACACATTTTCAGGTTGGACATTCTGCGAGCTCTATAATCAGCCACATTTAACACAAATGAATTGAGATGTATAAACGCGTTGATTATGTTGCGTGTCAAATCACAAATCTTAACATGCTTTGTTCAGGCCATGAGACAAAAGTGCTTCTCATTGATCTGTATAGCGGGGCCAAGCGAGCTAGTTTTGTTAAAGAAGATTGCACATGATTGAGCTGTTGTTAGTTCCTCCATTGGTTCATTCTGCTGTGTAGTTACTTATTAATCTTGTCTATTCCCTGCCTCCCTGTTGTATGATGAATACTTCTTCTGAGTGAACAGTTGGTTTCATTTGACTTGTTTCAGAAAGTTCCATTTTTCATGAAAAAACTGACACTGCATTGTGGGCACCAGCATGTTAATTGTTTGCCTGGCAGTGCAAGCTATGCAAATGCAACGCAACAGTGTCAGTGGGGGGACGCTTCATCACCTCTGTCCTGAATGATAATGGAATCTTTGACTGCTTGTATTTCTCAGGAAGAGATGTGGAGGCGTATGCTCCTGACATAGCCCACATGTTTCTTTATCTTCATCTTTACTCTTAATAATGATGTCGAACAATGGGGGTGGTCCAGGGGACCTGGAGTATCTGCTTCTGAGCTCAAATGCTCCCTCATGAACAATAAAATCGAAAAGAATTCAAAAAGATCTGAAACTTTTTTGTTGTAAACTTTGACCAATGTTTTGTACGCTTGCAAAATTTTAGCACTAAATAACATTCATTGAAGTTTGTGGCAAAAAAAAAAAATCGATGCTCCAAAAATTCTAGTTTTGGAAACATTTGGTAGTGTCGATTTTTTTTTTTGCCATGACTTCCACGAACGTCATTTCTTGCTGAAATTTTGCAAGCATACAAAACATTTGTAAAGGTTTACCATAAAAAAATTCAGAATTTTTAAAATTTGTTCTCTAACTTTTTACTGTTTATTAGGGTGCATTTGAGTTCGGGATTAGAATAGGGCTTTCGGTGGTCCGGGCACCTTCTCCTCTTTACGTTTGGGATTTCAGAATGTTGAATTTAAATGTCTCAATTTACTGCAAACAACCATCGGTACTTCTTGAGATGGAAGATCTCATCCAATAGCTGGATGAAGCCGAGAACGTGCTATGGAGTGAACAAGTTGTGGTACAACACAGCTGGAGAAACCTAAATTGTTAATGAATACGTACATCTAGATGTGATTTTGTTATAGCACATATAAGGTAACATCACCGTCAAATTGTGACCCCGCCCCCCTTGTGCGTTTGCTCTGTGTCGTTTCTGGTTGTCGAGTGCTCCTAGTCGATGCCCATTGCGTCAACGGTGCTTGGGCGCTCCTTTTCGCATCGGCCAGTGGGCCGAGCTGCTCGCTCTGGCTTCCTTCCATCAGGTGATGGTTGACCGGTCGCCAGTCGACCATTGACCATTCGAACTTGCATACGTTATTTATGTGGAGTCGACTGTTGCCTGTTCACTTGAAAAAAAATCAAATAAATTAGAAAAAGTTTGGGCGTTTGTATTTTTTGATAAATTTTCAAAAAATATTTGTGCATTTGAAAAATGTTCGCTGATATTTCCTTAGCTGTTTCCTTCAGGTTTGTTTTCGTTTTTCTTCTTGGTTTAGCTGTTTTGTCGGTTTTCAGTTGTTTTTTCCAGTTCATTTCTATTTTTCTCTTTTGTTTTTTTCCTTTTTTTCAAGTTTTCTTTTTCTGTTTCTTTTTCTTTTTTTCCTTCTCTTTTTTGCCTATTTATATAAAAGGTCACCGTGTAGTAAGAAAATGTTCACCATATATTATAAAAAAAGTTCACCATCATTACGAAACTGTTCATCGTGTATATTACAAAAATGTTCGTCGTATATTAAGAAATTGTTCAGCCTGTTACAAAATATTCACTGTGTATTCGAAATTTGTTCACCATATATTAAGAAATTGTTCAACGTATACGACAAAATATTCATTGTGTATGATTTGTTCAGTGTTGTTTTTACAAAAAAATCCATACTTTTTTTTAAAAAAAGTTTAATGTATATTAAAATGTTCAATGTGTATTCAAAATTTGTTCAGCATATATATTAATATTTTCATAAAATGTTCGAAATAAAAACCGAGCAAAAAAACGTGATCCTATAGTTAACCAGACGTACAGTATCGTTTACTATGGTGCCGGAATGCTAAGGGTCTCTGCATTGCCTTGTTTTAGTTAAACTGCCGGCACAGTTGGATCAACCTGTGCAAAGCCACAGCTCCTTGAACCACACGGGTGTCTTATAGGGACTCTCAGAGGGTTTGGCCTCGTTGTCTCGTGATTGAGTGAGTCATCTGTATGATCTTGTTTCCTAAAAAAAATAGAAGCTGTATGATCTTGTTGGGCCTGGTTTTCGGCTTTCTGTAATTTTTGGGGGGACTTTACCACTCATTGTGCTGGGCCTTCTAGTATGTTTAATTGTTTGGTTGTTTCTAGCACACCACGCGCCATATGTGTGTTTGTTCTAAATACAAAAAAAAGGCACGCATTTGTGTGGGCGCATTAGCCAAAAAAAACATATGCCTATAAAAACCCCAAAAAAACATATGTATGAAAAACTTCTTTCTATGTATATCTTTTGAGAGACTAAAAAAATGTATATCTTTTGAGAGAAAACTATTTCACAAGTTTTTATGTATATCCACATTTACAAAAAGGAAAAGCGAAAGTATGGTTAAGTGTTGTAGGAAGAAAATGCATGTTCATGCAATTTTAAAAAGTTTCCATAATTTTTTAAAGTGTTGAGTTATTTTTACAAGAAGGTTGGAACCTTCTAGAAGGTTCAAAAAAAAACGGTTATAAAAAAACTATATGGACCAGCCGAACAGGAACTTGGCACGTGTGGCATACGGTGCGAACTAATAAAATATATATTAAATGCGCCAAGCACAAGGTTGAACGGGGGTGTGCACCAGGTTGCCATAACACTATTGTAATGAACAAATCTTTAAATCCATTCTAAATGTAATATTTAGCATTTTTTATGACATTCGTAAATCACTTTCGTACTCATATTCTACTAGATACTGTTGGAAACAACAAGGTGTTAATAAATTCATCAAACAATTTCTGTCTAAAGGTAGTATAGACATTTCAACACATAACTCTTTCTAGAATCTCAACCTACAATTCCAGAAAAGAACTCGACAACAGATTCTGGGAGAAGCAGATACTGTAGAATCCTGTGTGAAAAGAACCGGACCTAAGTGGCGCTTAAGACGCTGAATGGTTTAGACTCATTGTCTCCTGAGTGTGATCTTGTTGGGCCTGGTTTGGTTTGTTTCTAGCACACCACGTCGGGGAATCCTATTCGGCACGCGGTCCCCCGTGATCGGCCTGGCGTGCACCCCCCTCGCGTGCTGGGTGTTCATATGGGTCGGACCATTTTTTGGGGTTTTTTCCTTCCTTTTATTCTTCATTTTTTCATTTTAATTTTTTTTCTTTTCCTTTCCTTTCTCTTCTTTACCTTGTGAATTTTCTTTTCAAATTCATGAACATTTTTTCGTTCATCAAATTCAAAAGATGTTTATCAAATTCGAAATTTGTTCACAGATTAAATGCGCATCAAATTCAAAATTTGTTCATCCATTTTTCAGAAGAAATGTGCTTGAAAAAAATAATTTGTCCTCAAGTTCAAAAAATGTTCATCGAATTCAAAATTTGGTCAGAAAATATAAAAAATGTTCATAAATGTTTTTCATTAAAATTCAAAATTTTCATTCTTTTGAAATCGTGATTGTTTTTGAATTCAATAACTACTTTTGAATTCGTTGAACTTATTCATCAATCTGCGAA